CGCGACGTGCCCGTCAATCCTATGCAAGTCAAAGTCAGCGCAACAGTATTCAAGGTTGCTTTCTTGCGCAAATAACTTTTGGTTATGGAGGAGATCTCCCACCGATTTTGCTTTGAGCCAAACGGTTTTTGTTCTCCTTGCATACAGATCAGCCAGTGAGTCTGGTTGGACACACTCTACAATCCAACTTCTTACCTCTTTTTCGACTTTCCCTTTGTCAACCGTTGTACAAAACGGTATTTTTATAACAATGTTCACCCGAGGGTTAATTCCAAACTTCTTCTTGAACACATTGGTAAGTATCCCCCGAATAATCTGTCGGCCTCTCTTTTGATTGATCGTCTTAACCGCGTTGTCCGGGTCAATCATTTCGTCCAGGTCTTTCTTCCAGAGATCGCGACGTTTCCAGGGAGCTCTCAGCAGTGCGATCAATTCAGCCTTCTTTAGATTTGTTTTCGTCTTAGTGCGTAATAGTTGCAGAATCCTCCATACCCCTCCCAACTCGATCTGAGTCTTTGCATCCTTTAGGAGGAGCTTGGATCCCCCAATTTCAATTTTGGTGTAACCAAACAATAGAGCAATCGGTCGTCTGGCTTTAAGCCAGCGACCACGATGATTATTGGTCATAACAACATCTTTCTTAATCTTGCCCTTCATCAAGCTTTTCAGAATACTCAGCAAATTTGGATCGTGCACAGAGTTAGTTGCAACATTGTTAAACAGCAGGGGTTCCGTGACATTAGCAATATTCTTAACAACTCTTTTCTGGTTGCCTCGAGGCTTACGAGTGCTGTTTTTTCCGTGCTTCCTCGCGGCATTCAGCCCAGGGTTGTACGCCCGGATGACATCCTGTTCTACCTCGTTAATAACCACCTCATCGCCGAACGAGATCGAAATCGGAGCATAGTAGTAAATACCGGTTTTTCTCAGCCAGTTATGAACCTTCTGCTTACTGTCTTTTTTAACTGTTGTCGGCGCGAATACCCTTACAAGGGTATCATCTTGATTTTTGCAAAACATGTTATTCGTTAAAACATTACATTATTGTGTGTACTATTCTGAAACGAATTTATAACACAGTGTATAGTCTGGTGTAGTATTTCAGATCCGGATACATCCGAACAAGGAGTAAAGCAACTTTGAGGCGAGGAGCACAGTTAGTACATATATCTGCTGCGCTCCTCTCGTGGTTCGGATGTGTCCAGATGTGGAACACCACAACAGAGTATACACTGTGTTATACGCCTCTGAGTCAGTACATATATCTGCTACCACTGTGTTATATGTACTGCTGCCTCAGTACATATATCTCCTGTGTCCAGATTTGGAACACCAGAACAGAGTAATATATTACACTGTGTCATAGTTTCACTTGGAGCTGAGCATCTCACTCATCCGAATCAGAACAATATAATGACACGAACTCGAGTTTGTGAGTAAAACGAGTTGTGGTTCTTCACAGACTTAGAGGAGTAGGATGACCTGTATTTAGAAGTGTGAGGACCAGAATGAATTGGAGTTCTGCACTGATGATCGTGTACATGTATAGAGCGAGAGAAATAGAAAGAGAGAGAGAGACAGAAAGAGCGAGAGAGAGAGAGACAGAAAGAGCGAGAGAGAGAGAGATAGAAAGAGCAAGAGAGAGAGAGACAAAAAGAGCGAGAGACAGAGAGTCTTAGAGAGACTGTACTTAATTTTCAAGAGACGCAAGGTCGAGCACACGCGTAGACCATCAGTCTCGTTTTTTAAAGCATTTCAGGCGATCGTTGTAGGAGAGCAGCAAGGTAATGTGAATCTCCAAGATAAGCGAAGCTCGGATGTATCCGAGATCACAGGAGGTAGACAGACAGAGGAAGTCCGCAAGAAATGGTCGTGTACATTTGAAGAGCGAGAGATATAGAAAAAGAGAGAGAGACAGAAAGAGCGAGAGACAGAGTGTCTCAGAGAGACTGTACTTAATTTTCTCGAGACGCCGCACGGACAGCGCAGGGTCGAGCACACGCGAAGATCATCAGCCTCGCTTTTAAAAGCATTTCAGACGATCGTTGCAGAAGAGCAGCAAGGCAACGTGATTTTCCCAGATAACCGAAGTTCGGATATATCCGAGATCACAGGAGATTGACAGAGAGGAAGCCCGCAAGAAATGACATATTAGCACGCAGAGGGCTGAGAGATGGAAAAGACAAGCACCGTATAGTCACCCACAACATTTCGTGTCACGAACGTATCCGAAGTGTCGAATTAGTATAGACCCTTCAGTTTGAAGCTTCCCCTGTGCTTTTTGAGACACAGTTCAAGAAGTATCTTTTGCGAAACTGAGAGAGAGAGAGAGAGAGAGAGAGAGAGAGAGAGAGAGAAAGAGAAACATTGTACCATCATCCACCACATTTCTGATCCATCCGGAGTGTCTCGGCTGTGAGTCGCTTCGCTACGATCTAGACAGAGCTGACAGAGATAGAAAGAGCGCGTCAGAGAGATGGAGAGGGAGACAGCGACAGAGACAGGGACAGAGACAGAGAGACAGAGAGAGACAGAGAGAGTGTGGACGATCGCACTGAATTTTCTTTTCATGTCGACATGTGGCACAGGAGACGCATGTTCGAGGAACACGCGAAAACCACAAGCGTAGTTGTACAAGAGTTGCAAGGTTTTCGTTAGGCGAGAGTAAGCCAAGTTCGGATGCATCCGAGATGACAGGGGAGAGGGAGTCCGAAGCAAACAGCAAATGAGCGCACTAGACACAGCTGTAGGTGTGTGTGTGCGAGAGAGAGAGAGAGAGAGAGAGAGAGAGAGAGAGAGAGAGAGAGAGAGAGAGAGAGAGAGATGATTCTTGAATTTGTTTTTCGAAAATTGAGGCGTTCACCAATCATACAGTGGTCATTTGTTCATTAGTGCCAGCTCAATTCAGTTTGTGTCACTTTGTAGCATCAATCAGCTTCGCCTCGTGATTTATCCTTCCGTCACCACATCCAATTTTGTCCAATCATGCAATTGTATTTTCAGCCGCGCCACCTTAATTCAAATCTCGTCATATTCGAGCAGCCATTGGCGTCGCCTTTTGGGTTTTCCCTCTCGGCACATTCAAATTTTTCATTGTATTGGGTAATGCATAGGAACCGAATGTATGAATGCTCGTGCAGAAGGGGAGCTTTGTCGGGCCAAAGAATTGACAGCATTCAATGTCGGAATCACAAAGCACACAGTGCGGAGGGCCAGACGGGCCATTAAATGTGTAAAGAGGCCCATGTGTTGTATTTTGTTCTCTGTGACGCCTCACAACATTCAAAGTGAAAATGCATAGATGAGTGTAGACGACGGGGCAGGTTCGGGAGAGAGGCGGAAAAGCATAGAGTTTGTTCGAGTCCGGATGCATCCGAGTATACGGGCAGAACATCACACCACACAAGGCACAAAATGACGAAAGCGAGATATTCAATCACGAAATAGGCGCCCCAACAACGGGGACGTTCGTGATGATTGAAATCCAATGAGAAAGAACAATATTGTCGATGACAAACACGCCGGGGACATGACAAGTTCACCCGGAGATTTCCTGGCAGTGACAGTCAGTTCTGCTCTGAACCAAACCGAGAACACCCACCAGTCCCTCACGGAAAAAATGAAAAGGAACAAATTTCGTCCGGAGAAGAACGAAATGTTCTTCTACGTCAACCCTTCTACACTACATGATCAACAAAGGGATAGACACTTACCTACCAACATCGCAAATCGCCAAAGCTAGTCTAGCTCTGATAGAGGAGATGTGTCTATGGGAGAAACCAAAAGGTGGACGTAAACCTCTCGCCAAACAGGAAGCGAACATCAACATGAACACCCCACAACTAGCCCCGTCGTGCTGCCGAGGGACACCTTTCATGCTGACCTCGCGAGCGAAGTGGTCGAAAGTGCGACCATCACCGGCGGCACCTGCCACCGTGTTCAAAAATTTAACAGTTTTATCCAGAAGTGCGGAGTGGAAGGAATCTTTGGATGACGAACACGAGAAAGAATCATAGATTTCCAAAACACGTCTAGAGAAGACAATGGCCAAAAGGCTCCTGTGTTCGCCGTCCTTATGCACTGGTGCCAAGACGAGGTCATGAGACAGGAGGTCGACATCTTTAGCCCATCTGAGAACAGTTGTCGGACCTCGCAGAAGCAGTGAAGAGGCGAAGGAGTTAAAGGTGTATGTCTTCATGGTAGCGGCAGTCCGGCCGCAGTCGTCCTATAGCATCGCCATGTAGAAATTGACAACCTCATCGTTGAGCTCCCCGGATCTATCCACGAGTGCGACGATGTCCTTGACGGATACCTGTAAACTGTGAGACGGCAAACGCGCGACGATGATAGTGAGCGGCAACCGAGAGCAGATAACGTCTTCAAGGACCGCTCTTCAATCTCGAGGAAACCCTATTCAACAAACACTCGCAACACACAGCAAGCACAAAGGATGGTGCACTATGAGAAAATGCCGTTGTAGCGGCCATGGTCCGAGAAACCGCTACTCTGTGGTCCGAAAAGTTCACGCATAACGTCACCCCTACTTCTGGACCTTCTACACATAGTTGATTCTAAACTAGCACTGTCCTTTATATCCCTGCAAGCCTCGAGAAGGAATTCCTTGCAGTCTTTTTCGACAACACCCGCTGCCTCTGCAACGAGTCTTGCGCGGGAGCCCAATACGGGCACGACTACCCTTCTGGGTGGGCCTCGAGGCTTAGTGTCCCCAGGGAACGCATCAGTGACATTGTGACGACAAGTGCCTCTCGCAACCAGGACTGAAAACCTGGCGAGGGCAGGCGGCTCCTGCGATATGGGTGTTTGTCCACGAGTTCGTCGACCTGTACAAGAAATAGCCACCCAGACAGTTCAGCAGGAGATCAACAACACAAGTTCGCAAGAGCAACCAAGCAAACAGCACCTCACGAAGCACATCGTCACAATCCAGTTGGCGGCCGCCTATACACCTCCCCGAAATCGACGAAGCAAACAACACTTCACGAACGGGCTGACGAGCGTGAAGAAAGCAGAGAAAGTCAGTGCTTACCAGGCCTAGCTACCACTTCACCAGAGCCCACCGACGGCAGTCCCAGCACGATTGGCACCCCTGCGCGCATCGACGCGGCGACGACGTGCTCCAAACCCACAGGGAAACTTGACAGGCTCGAGATGTCAGCGTCGATGACCGTAGACGGTATATTCGTTTCCGGACAAAGATCGTCGACGTCCACAACATCGTCAGGTTGTGTTTTTTCCATTGTCACTGTGTCGTATTGTGTTGGGCTCAATGGCCCACGGATGTCCAACAACACCTCTTCCCCCCTTAACTTCTTGTCCCCGTACGCTGTGTCTTTGTCGTCGTCACTCAAATAGAGAAATCTATCTCCAACAGCGTCAGAGGCTTTCTTTAGAACGTCCTTCCCCATCGCCTCGTTGTGAAGGGCGGAGTACAAGGGATCGTCGTATCCTGGCTGAACCGGTAGCTCCATCCTGACGTCGTTGAGTGTCGGATCAATCCGGTCGTCGGCGGCATTGTCCTTGTCCAAAGTCGTCAGTAGTCGACAACCCTCAACGCCTGCCAGTTGAAGTCCTTCGTCCGTGTGCCTCGGATGAATCCGAATCACGGTCGTCTCCAAAGATGCATCAGGGAGGGAGATGTTCACAGGGCCCTGGTTCGGATTCATCCGAGCCCCCGCAGTTTCCAATGACGCCGACATGACCGCTTTCACCGGGGAGTCGCTCATGACTGCTAACTCGGCTCCGAGTGTGTTGGGCTCGACATTGGAACTGGTCGCCAACTCACCCTCAGTCCGACAGTCCGCCTGCAGCTCCTTGTGGGCTTCCACACAGAGCATTACTGCATCCTGACACCGATCGTCTGTCATCGCAAACACGACTTCCTAGTTCGGATGAATCCGAATTTCGTCGCCAGGGTTTTCGGAAACCCAGACCACCCGTTCGAGTTCTGTAGACAGCTGTGCTCCCTCGATGGCACGGCCTTCGCGGTTCGGATTAATCCGAAATTCCTTTTGAGGCGAAACGGAACACAGTTCCAGCTTGTCGCTGCCGGACCCGTGGTATGTTGTCGTCTCGCTTCCCGGAAGGCACTGAGTTCCGAACAACGAGGTCGTCTCTGAGGTTCGGATTGATCCGAGACAATCCGCCAACCGTATTTCGAGCTGAGCGAAGCATGTTCCATGCTTTGCGACACCCGCCCCGCCAACCGCATCGACAAACTGTGTTTCGCTGGTGGAGCTAATCACAGGGTCCTGCTCGCTAGGCCGCGTAATACACCCAGGCCTCAAGTCGTTCCCCGTCTCCATTGAGGTGCTGCTCGTTACTGCCAGAACCCCACCGTCCTCGTCGCGGTCGCCATCGGACCCCTGCCCGTCTCCTCTGTGATGCTTTGTCTTCTCTCCGCTGCGAGGCTTCTTCTTCTCTCGGCTGCCCTTTCTCCCCTCTCCGCCGCCTGCGTGCCCCGGAGACCGTTGTTTCGTTGATCGCTGTTCACTTCCACCTTCGGTACCTCGTTGCCCGCCGCCTTCACCATCCCCGTCGCCGTCCTTTCCGCGAGACTTGCGCTTCACAACTCCTGCCGGCGGGGTGACCCCAGGCAATTCCCAACTCACTTGCTTAATTGTCCGGCTTGATGGAAGGGCGTAGAACGCGGAGGACACTTCTAGCCATTTATTTGACTGCAAGAACTTGAACAGCGTGTCCCCGTATTCGCGAAGAGCAGGGTCGTCCTTATTTCGTCGATTGACCTCACTTAATCTCTCCAATACCGCATCGTTGGCGCGAGATTTGAATGTCTCGAGGTCCCAACGATCGTCATATATCCACCCTCCACTTACGTCCCTCACAGCCACTGCCCATTCGCCGTCGAGAAGGACTGGCTGGAAATGGTCCGGGTGCCACACGATATCATGGCCCCAAWCTTCGGCTGTGGAGAAGGTGTGTTTGTTGCCCATGTGGAAGGGAGTCGCAGGAGCCTTGAGATGCGGATGGTCCGGAGGAACTGGATGGACGGGTCGAAGACGTTCGGACTGTGGCGTGAGACGAATAGGCTCCCCCGGCGAACTCCTCAGACGGGACAACCCACCCCTCTTGACAGGCGCTGAGGAGGACACGGGCGTGGGACCGCCCGAGGTAGGTGTAGCGAGAGGTGTCCCCGGTTTGCATACTGATGGCGACTCAGAAACTTGGGCGTTGAAGATGGCCAATTGCCCGTCCAAATCGAAGAGGTCATCCTCAATGCTCTCCTCCTGCTCAGCCTCGATATTGAAGTCGTCCTCCTCACCGAATGCCAGCTTGTACTTATCCAAAGTGAAGTCGGCCGGATCGACAACATCCTCGTTAAAAAAGACATATTCCAGCCTTTTAATGAAGCTCACATCGCCGGCCCGATCCGCTCCGTGGTAGCCTTGGAGGACCGCAATGGCGACTTCCTTCCGCACCACTTACTGCGGGTTAGATCTCAACCTTGGTTGTTCGCCGTAAAGGAAGGAGTAGACCTGGCGCCTTTTCTTCGGAGTCAAATTGAAGAACATGTCCTTGTTCGGGTCATAAACGGGCTCGACCACGATATGGTGGAAATCGCATGGGTAAGCCTTGGACGACACTTCATGGGTGACATACTGCACGGTGTATTTGAGCTGCGTTGTGTCCCCATCCACGGCCAAGACGTGCCTTCCCTGCTGAAGCAGACTCCACACCACCTGCGCGTGCGGCTTGCCCAAGAACAGCACGGCATCCGCCACACCACAGAAGAAAAGAAACCGATTGCACAACTGATTCGGATTCCGCTCGCCGTCCTTGTATAGTGCACCCCTCTGGGTCAGGTTTCCGATGTCCGCGAAAGTCAAAGACTTGAAAGACTTCTCCTCCACATCCGTGGGTGTCACTTTCTGTTTCCTCCGGAGAGCGGCGGCGTCGTCTTCAGCAACAGCTCCCTCGTACACCGGGTGAGTTAGTAGCCGAGGATCCTCGCCTTTGAAAAGGATGTGCATCACATCTGGCTCCTCCCAGACGCTGTTTCCGAACTGATGCCTCTTCTTCGATGCCGTCTTCCGAACCCACTTCCCCATGTAGCGTCGGTAGCCCCAAGCGCAGACAAACATGTCATGAAGGAGAGGTTCCACAGGCAGGGGACGAATACCACCAATGTCCAGTAGTCCAGACAAACGAAGCCCAGCAACTCACTCAGAGACGCGAATGCCCCAGAGTCCCATTGCGCACGGTCCACAGCACCGCACAAGTCGAGTACGCAAGTGTGGGAGCGTAGCTGATGCCCCTGTTTTCCCAGCGCCTGCTTATGATCTATGGCACTCAACGGGTCGACGTTAAACTGGGCCTGCATCGTCAAGGCGCTTGTCCTTGTCCACATAATGTTGATGCATTCATCAACGCCCCGAGGGATTTTTTTGCCTTTGGCGTGATCTCCAGTGATCACCGAAAGGACGACACGCTTCCACTCCGCCGGGAAATGCTGGTCGTTGACGAGGGCCGCCGTTCTCTTGATCTTGTTGTCGTGTTGAAACCCGAGAAACTGAGGGTACTTGTTGACATATGTGGTGTCCGTGAAAAATTTCCTACTCTCATTCCATAGCTTGTCGTCGAGACCTCTATCCTTGAACTCTTCGAACAGTTGCTTCTTGGACCTGAAGAACGTGGAGTTGGCATTCCACTCCCGCTTATCCATTTCCTCGTACTTGAACTCCACGTAGTGCCACAGCCTCAGCATAATCCGGTCCATTTTTATTATGTGGACCATCTCCTTGACACTGAACTTGCCCTGGTCGGCCAACCTTTTGCTACTCGTTTGAACCTACACGACGTTAAGGTTCAAGACGCCGTTCAACAGCCTTTTCTTATCGCGGTCCGTCAAGTCCACCAATTCCTTCCAGCAGTGGACATCCAACTCTGGAACTTGGACGTAGAAAGTTTTCTCCTCCGCGCCTTTCTTTGGCTTCCCCCTGCCCTTTTTCAACGACGGGTCGTCCACCTTCACGTACCAGACGTGTTTCTTCAGCCCCTGGCTGTCAGTCACAGTGGAGAGTCCTGGCTTGGCCACCTCCTCATGGGTGGGCGGCTTTTCAGTCCAACACCGGTCGTCGGAAGCAAGGAGTTTCCCTTTCGACCACTCCTCATAGAACTTCAACCCCAAAGCGAAGACGGAGTCATCTGCGATGGCCAGCGGGAGGTAGTATCGAAGTTTCTCAGCCCATTCCTTTCTTTTCTTTGCTTCCATTGACAGGTTCCAAATAGGCGTGTACGGCGTCTTCTTCATTGCCAACGCCATGAACCGCACCCACTTTCGCACCTCGTCCTGTTTCTTCGAGGCATTGCCGAGCACCACACGCGGTTTGCCCTTAATTTTTCAGATATTGCAAATGTCTCGCATAGATAAAACCTGCAAGCGCAGTGGATTCTTCTTGTCTTTCATGTTGTCTTCGCAGCTGACATGGGCGTAGCCGTCGAACTCGTCGTCAGGGAAGTAGATCGGTCTGAACGGCCATTTACAGAAGTTGTAGTAATCAAACACGGGATGGTCTTTCACCATCATCGCCGCCCTCGCGTTATGTTGTCCACACACAGGATAATACCAGTATCTCTCCGGGTGTGAGCTGTCGAAGTCAGCAGGCAGCACGCGCACAACAGGCTCGCCGTTCTCTGGAGGCGCGATGATCGGAGCGAGAACGAAAATGGGCTTCGTGTATCTCATGTCTTTACATTCGTAGCAGTCGATCATAGCCGACGCGATGGTATCAACGAGGAACTCGTCCAAGGATCGGTGGTTGTACGCGTCTTCCCAGTCAGGAATGGCTAATATTCTTTCGGGATGGATGTGCAACACGACGTCCTTCTGCACCCCTGTCTGCATCTCGAGGAAGAACGCATTGTCGAGGTTAAAGGCGTTGAGGTTAATCTCCACGTCGTCATCCCCCTCCCCGCTATCGCCCTCGTCTGCTTTCTTCCCCCTCGATGATTTCGCCCTTTTTCCGGAAGACTCACCGGTTCTTCGCTGTGTCGACGAGTCTTTTGGCATTTCATCCCCACCTCAAACCCTTTTCCTCTTCTCAACGGAACCGCCCTCTCGTGTTGTTGGCGTCCGAGCACTCCCGCCTACCTTTCTCTGCCTTTTCAGAGCACCTAGTCCCTCTCGCTCTTCCTCATCCGGCAAGTTGCGCTTGCCTCCCGACTGAGTCTTTTCAACCGATCTCTCACGGAACAGCCCCTGCTCGGACACCTCGTCACCGACGACGTTCCTACTTGCTTCTCGTTCCTGGCTCAACTCCGTCTGCAGTTCCCCCGGCGCTGGTCGGGCCCGGCGAGTCGTCTCATCTGACCCACGCACCTCTCGAACCTGCATACCACCCGCTCGATCTCCAGGCGAAACCTCGGCCACCTGCATGCCACGAACGAACGAACCGATCCTTTCGACCAGACCACGAGGAGTCGTCGATTCCGAGCCCTGTCGCAACCGTTCGCCATTGCCGCCTCCATGTGGCGTCGACTCCCCAAGCAAACCGTGGCGGCGAGATACATGCAAGCCTGGTTTCAAAGGAGCACGCGGATGGTCGTCCTCCGAGTCGTCTGACATGCCCACCTCTTGATCAGGAGGCGTATCTGGCAGGCCACCCTGACCTCCCATCTCCCTTTCAGAGCACTCTCCTCCCGCGAACCCAACAGGACCACTGATCGATGTTCCAGGTCCGATGTCCACGGCACTGACAAAGGTACCAGCTTTCGCCCAGACCTCGAGGAAGTCTGTGACGTGAACGGCCTCGTCGTGCCCCGACGCTAGCGGGAGAAAGTGAGGCAAAGACATTGCACGACGGCCGTACCCGCCGAACATCTTCCCGACAACCTTGCATCCCTTTGCGATGCCGTCGACAGAACCATCACTTCTGTAATGCTTTTTCAACGTAAACTTGAAATTGTATTCGCCATCGTCGACCCACAAGATGATGGACCCTGCGAGACGCGTTCTGCTGGCGCGAACAGCGACGAACAAGAGCGGCCCGCACGGTGGTTGCAACGGGTCGGAGCCGTCCTGGCTTGCCCAGTCCAAATACTAGACACGTTTGCTGTAGTCGCACCACAAGTTTTGAGCACGTCGTTCTTCCTCCCCACCTCCAACTCCCCGACTCATTTCCCTTGCCGGCGACGACGTCCTCCCTCGACTCTCCTCTCCGTGCGGGGCGGAACCACCAGCGGAGCGGCCTCGTCCGTGTGAAGCCATTCCCTGAAACACACGGAGGAAATGAACCCACATTCACTCAGAACAGTCAGCACGTCCCAACATCAACCACGACCCACGGCACGTATTCTGTTATCGATCACACGGACTCCAAAAGAACGAAGTTCAGTCATAGTTAGACGACAATGGTCCACAAGCCTGCAGGTTTCGGATAAATCCGAGGCATCGTCAGCCATCCTCGTCACACTGCCCGTAAAAGAACGAATGCTCGAAAACGAAGACCGTGGGATAGATCGGATACATCCGAAGCAGGCGCAGTCGAAAAAACGATTTCGCATAGGCACCTGCCCGGGAAAAACAACGCCTCGCAAGAAGGCCCTAGAACGTTGATACGGCAGACGAAGGCGAATACGTTGTCATCCGAAGTCGACAAGTGGATTGTAAAGTCCGCCGTTGTAGTTCGGATGAATCCGAGCTCCAAAGCGGTGTGGACCTCCCCCTGTCGGCCCGTACGAAACCGAACTCGAGTTTTCTTGTCCTTCTGAGTTGGTAACGGTTGTGACTCGGATGCATCCGAATTCGAACAGCRCGGTCCAGAGACGGTCGTCCACAAGAGGTCATCTACAGCACATGTTTTCGTCACCGACCTGCGAGCACTGGGTTAACCCTATCCTGCCGGAGGTTCGGTTCGGTTGAACCTGAACTTCTCAAATGTGGCTCGGATTAATCAGAGACGGGGACCAGTGGATGGCTATCCAAGCTTCCGTTATTCCCCAGCTCTCGTCGGGTCCAATCGAATTTCGCACGGTGTGTCTTCGTCCTTGAGTGTTTAAGACGCGTGTGGTCCGGATTTATCCGATTTCGACAGAGGCTGTCCCGATACGTGCGACCACGACAGGCTGCGCCGACACCGTGTTCTTTCGACGTACAAGTTTATCAGACCGTGCGACGTCGTCAATACCCTTTGCGCATGTGGTAAATCCGAAAATGCCACCGGTGTGGTTTGGATTAATCCGACTTCGCCGAGGCGCTACGCTTTGTTGTCGCTCCACCACACAGCGGACCTCCCCGCGATTGCCGTTGTGTGTCATTATAATTTGTGCGTCATCACGGGGGACATCGTCGTCGTCGTGAGTTTTAGTTGGTTGTTGCTCGCCCAATCCAAACAATAGACACGTTTGCTGTAGTCGCAACACAAGTTTCTAGCTCGTCTTTCTTCCACCGAGCGTAACCATCTCGACTCGTTTTAGTTGCATGAATCCGAGGCAGCTTTCTGGAAGACGAAGACAGCGTGGTAGTTCGGATACATCCGAACTAGGCAGAGTCGAAAGACCGACGTTGTGACTCGGATGCATCCGAATTAGGCCGACCACAAGAGGAGGACATCGGCACGGCGTGTGTTACTCAATGACCTGTGAGCAGAGGGTGCCCCCTATCCTGTCGGAGGTGTGGTTCGGATTAATCCGAGACGGAACGGTCTTTTGACAGCGTGTGATTTCGTCGTCCACGTTTATGGGAACGTGCGGCGTCGTAAATACCATCTGAGCATGTGACAAATCCAAATTTGTCATCAGTGTGGTTCGGATTAATCCGAACTTCGCCGAGGTGCCTCGGTTAGTGGTCGCCCCGTGAGTTTTAGTGGGTTGTGACTCGGATGCAACCGAAATTAACAAGGATGGCTCGGATACGTCGGTTGTTGCGCCACCACAAGATTGTATGGACAGGGTGGGCTGTCGTCCTCCTGGTTGGTCGAACATATCGCCGTCTACAATACCCTATGAGCATCTGATCGCTCCGTGTCCTGTCCTATGTCCAAGTCAAGGGAAGGGTTCCTCGCGGCGTTCGGCTGACGCGACGTTTGATAGGGTTTAAAGATTTGAATTCACGTTCGCCTCCTGTGTCTTCGAATCTGTTGTAGCAGTCTTCGGACTACTGATCTGTGATTGCACTCAGGGGGGGACCAACCTGAGATCGGTTGAGCGACTGTCTGCGATACACAAAGATTGGAGAAAGGCAGAAAACCTGCATAGACACGGAAGGGAGACTAAGATCGATAGAGACGTCGACAAGGAGAGGATGCGCAGCGAGAGAGCCCGTCTTTAGCTCTCTGTCTCTCCATGTGCAGATCCTGCGGATGGTGTTGTCCATTTCGGAATTCGCAATGTGACCGTTAATAAAACAACACAAAAGAAATTTAAGAAAAAATTGTTCGTGTCGGCGAGTGGAAGATTGGCGAAAAATGTAAAAAATTCGACGAATGTGAAAAACGAATAAACATTTTACGGATATAGAACCGAACGCCGAGCGAACTGCACGACGCGACTTACGCGGAAAACGAATAAACAAACCGAGCGCAATAAAAATTTATTTGGCGAGAAGAAAGTCCATGTGCAATCCAGAAGAGACACAATAAGAGAAACCATGTTCTCTTGTTCGACAACATACGACTGAAATCCTTATATCGCAGTTCATGAGAGAGAAAACAAATTGACGACAAGCGAGTAACACTTCAACAAAACATCTGAAGTGACGACACAATCTGAAAGTGCGTATCGCAACATTCTCAGGCTGCATTCGCGGGTCCCGTTTCGTTGGTGACCACTCGCCCCGATCAAATGGCACACTCACATGTCCACGTGACAGCTCTTGAGCATGCGTGGCGACGATCAGATAGAGCCCCGCATCCATCAGCGTGGCCACGCTTGTTCAGGACGTGACACGTGGACGTTTGAGTGTGCCATCTGATCGGTGTGAGTGATCGCCAATGAAATGCATGCATTCTTGCTCCCGAAACTCCTTCATCTCGCCCTGATCAGATGGCACACTCACACGTCCGCATGTCATGTCCTGAATATGCGTGGCCACGCTAATGGGCGCGGGGCTGTATTGGAGCCTCGCATCCATTCTACTGCCGCATAGAGCCCCTTTGTCGCATAGATCCCCGCATCCATCAGCGTGGCCACGCTTGTTCAAGACGTGACACGTGGACATCTGAGTGTGCCATCTGATCGGTGCGAGTGATCGCCAATGAAACGCATGCATTCTTGCTCCTGAAACTCCTTCATCTCGCCCCGATCAGATGGCACACTCACACGTCCGCATGTCATGTCCTGACCATGTGTGGCCACGCTGATGTGTGCGGGGCTATATTGCAGCCTAGCATCCTTTCTGCTGCCGCATAGAGCCTCGCATCCATCAGCGTGCACACGCTTGTTCAGGAACTGACACGTGGACGTTTGACTGTGCCATCTGATCGGGGCGAGTGGTCGCCAATGGAACGAGATCCGCAAACGCACCCCGAGGTACGTTCGCGAAAGAAACAGGCCAAAGCATAAGAAGAACGAAATAGAGGCGCTGAAGACAAACTAACGACGGGGACGAAGATGGTAGTTGAACACGATGGCACACACGTCCACGTGTCAAGTCGTGATCATGCGTGGCCACGCTGATGGGTGCAGGGCTCTATTCAACAACATTCTGTTGCCGCATAGAGCCCCGCATCCATCAGCGAGCCCACGCTTGTTCAGGACCTGCCACGTGGACGTGTGAGTGTGCCATCTGATCGGGGCAAATGGACGCCAATGGAACTAGATTCGCGAAAGCAGGCCGACGGAAAAGACGAATGACATAGAGGCACTGATAGAAAACTGACAACGATGGTGGTGGAACACGACGCTGTTGGTTCTGTCTCGTTCGTTTGTCTGCGCTAGTCATTTACGTTCGCAAACTTTGTGCGAACGACACAGACAAGCGCAGTGAAACGAACGAGATAAAAGATAGAAAGAGAGATAAAAAGATAGGGAGAGAGAGAGAGCGCGACATAGAGGCGATCTCCGCCTTCATCACACGGTCCAATCAAACGTCACTATCAAATGGCCCCGAATGTCATAGACTCCCTATCACACATCGGACTCACGGAGCGAAATCCCTGTTGGATCACACGACACTGCTCGTTCGCGGCGACTGAACCCAATGTAATCGCCACCGCGCGAATCCCGATTACAGATCGCGTACATGTGTGGGCATTCTGACGGTCTACGCAAACCCAGCATGGCAGGACTTTTCAGGTCGATGGAGATGGCGAGAGAAAGAGAGAGAGGGAGAGAGGGAGCGAGAGAGAGAGAGAGAGAGAGAGAGAGAGAGAGA